AGTACCAATGTAGATAAAAAAAAAAAAAAGATCTACGAAACATCCTATTCAATCGAGATCTTTTTCAAGAAGTTTACGATCTAAATTGACACGAGCCAATACAGGGTAAGATCCCAATGATAAAATAAAGAGATTAATATGGAAGAATTGTACCCCCTCCTTTCCCCCAGTTACAAGAAGATGCCCCCCTCCCGAAAATAATTCCATATATCATAGTAGATTATCTTTATCCAACTGTGTTCATTCAGCATGTAAATCTCGGACAACTAAAAAAAATCACCCTTTACTTTGTCACTCAAGACTGGTTCAGGTCATTTTCAGCATATTTACATTCTTTACTTGATAACTCACTCTCGTCAGAAACTATACATTATTTCGAAATATGGAATTAATTTTTGGAATTGGCATGACAATTCACATTTTATACGAGACTTCGAAAAAATTCTATTTCTAGGCACTTTTCCCTATTCTTTGGTCCTGATCCTTTTCGTTTAGTAATTAAATCTCCAGTTCACTTTCAGATGACAAAATGTGAAATCAAAAGCCCATTGATTTGTCCAACCAAAGAGCCAATTAAAATCTTTATTAATGTTTGTTTTCATTTTTTTGTCAAAATTTCAACAAAAGTGCCTTCTGATTGTGAACTGGAGAGATAAATCTCAACCTTAATCTTAGAACATTTCGTGACACCTCTTATTACTTTACTCTTTGGTTCGCATGAAATTCTGAGATGGTCGTTTTTTTGTGGCAGATACCCCTTTGCTCATTGATAGTGTTTATTGAACCTTTTGCTAAATCAATTTAACCTTTAAATCTTGATTTGTACAGCCTAACCTTTCCTTTAAACTGTTAAAAACTAAAGTACAAGTTGATCATTGTGGTTGCTGGGTTTATTATACCACACACATACAATTTAGTCTCATCTGTTAACCTAATCATGTTAATGGCAATTTATTTTCAAATTAACTTGCAGTAAATCAATCTCAACCTTCCACTTTCTGGTCATTTTATCCAGCAATTTTAACACGGTCATAACAGGGTTTAAATGTTCATAATGGACTCCAGGAGGATCCATGATCAAGTGACAACAATCTGGTTATAAGTTGTTTTACCCTTAAAAAGGTTGCTCATGATGGATATGTTGATGATTATTATGAGTATCATTACCAATTAATCATTAGTACCCGGCTAATCTTGTTTGCTAATCGCCAATGGTTTTACTTACCTTATCTTGGTCACACT